AAATTCTATTCAAAGCAAACATGAAAATATCCTTGGAAAAATCAAAATTCGTTAGAAAAGAAATATAATTTTTAGGATACATAGTATCATACAATATACAATCATTAAAACTGATCCGAAAAAAATTGAATCAATCATGAAATACCCTCCTCCAAATAATTTAAGGGAATTACGAGGTTTTCTTTGCTTAACAGGCTACTATAGGAAGTTTGTAAAAAACTACGCGACTAATGCAAAACCACTCACCAAATTGATACAGGGAAATAACGGTATGGTTTCAAAACATATGTCTAAAAAAAACAGAAATATCTCTAGACGAAGAAGCTATCTCAGCGTTTGAAAACTTAAAATCACACCTGATTGCAAACATCGAACTAACTCCGCCAGATTATACAAAAAAGTTCGTCCTCACCACAGACGCTTCCGACATCGCCATAGGCGCCGTCCTTTCACAGGAAAACAAACCAATCACCTTTGTTTTAAAAACCCTAAATAAAACAGAAATTACGCCACAAATGAAAGGGAACTATACGCCATTGTATGGGCATTAAAAAACCTTAGGAACTATTTGTGTGATGTTACAAATTTAGAAATCCAAACAGACCACCAACCACTTTCTTTTACAGTTTCTGCACGAAACTCTAATTCTAAAATGAAAAGATGGCATGCTTTCATAGAAGAATTTTCCCCTAAAATATTTTACAAACTGGGATCTACCAACGTCGTCGCTGACGCGTTATCAAGGGTAATGGTCAATCATATTTCCAATGAAAGTAATCTCGTGTCCGAAGAAGAACCGTCGTCCGATAATGAAACTATCCACTCAGCCGACAGTAGTTATAAAAACGTAATTGAAGAAACACACAAACCATTGAACCAATTTAAACAACAATTACTTGTTTCTAAAAACAACATAACAATTCACGAAAAATATGAAGTTTTCAACAAAACAAGACATATTACAGAACACGACACAGTACACAATTTAATAATCATACTTAAAGAATATCTTCAACCAAACCTAACTAAAGGAATTCATTGCAGTCTCGAAGATTTTTACGAAATCCAAAACCAATTAAAAAACACTTAACAACAAATTTTTATTTACTAAAAAGTTTGTCCTAGACATCGATAACAAAAATGACCAAGAAATTATAATAGAAGAAACACATGCTCGTGCTCATAGAGGTTTGGACGAAAATCTTAATCAAATTCTCAAAGACTATTATTGGCCAACACTATATAAAACCCTTAAGCAACACATACGCTACTGCGAAATTTGTAATAAAAATAAATATAACAGAAACCCTAAGCAAATTCCTATTTCTAAAGCCCCTATTCCGGAGAGAGAAGGTGAACAATTACATATTGATATTTTTTATGCTCAAAAGTTAACAATCAGATGACAAATCAGATATGGCAAACAAAGTGTTTGAACTTATCCAAACTTTTCCTTTTGTTAAATCTATAATGATGGACAACGAGCCTACGTTTTCATCAACACAATTTAAATCGTCAATGTCTCGTTCAGGTATAATGATTTATTATGCAGATCCCAGACACAGTTTAGGCAGCGGTCAGGTAGAAAAAGTTCATTCAACAATAAACGCGTTGTATTCAAGAAGAATACAATATAATAGATCATTCCGAAGTCCTATACCGAGCAGTTAAAGAATATAACAACACAATTCAATCGACAACTCAACAAAAACCATGTGACATATTATTTAACAAAATAGAACATCCAAACTGGTCAGAAAAATTAGAATCAGCCCAAGCCAAAATGTATGAGTACCATAACAAAAAGAGGTCACCAAAAAATTACCAAGTAGGTGAAATAATTTATGAGAAAAAACATGGCGAACGAAACAAACTACAACCTAGATTTAAAAAACAGGTAGTTAAAGAAGACTTAGGAAATAAATTTAAAACAAGCAATAGGGATTGTAATATTCAGAAAGACAATATCAAATTCTAATCTATTTTGTGTTTTTCTAATGTATTTTTAGAATGCACATTTTATGTATCTTATCTGTTTTACTGCCGTTTTGCGGTGCAGACATTATTAATTATTCAAATGATGACTATGTCCTACTTGAGGATACGGTAATCTTTTTATAAGAAGCATACGGAGAAGTTTTTCACGTTACTAATCTAAGTTTTTATAACGATATTTTCGAAAAAGAATTAAATTTTTTTAAAAACGAAAACAATACAATTAATTGGGAAGTAACCTTGGAATTGAATTTAATCAAAACACTTCTTTCTGAACTAACACCTCACAAAATTGCCACACGTAGTATCAATGAACTAGGTACCATTTTTAAATGGATCACAGGAGCACCAGACCATGATGACATGATAACTATTCAAATTAAAATCAATGAACTTGCTCAAAACAGTAAAAAAAAAAAATCAATTCTGCAATTTTCAAAGAAGTCACTAAAATCACAAATCTTTTAAGAGATATTAAATTTAATCAGGAATTACTTATGAAAAAATATCGACTTAAGTTGTTATCACTTGACCTACAAAATCTGCTGGATACTATCACATTTTCCAAAGCCAGAATATTGAATCCAAAAATTTTAAATAAACAAGACATGATAAATATATTTAATCACGAAACCCTCAATATCACTCTAATCGATCTTTTAGACATTTCCTCTTTTTCGATCGTTTCATATAATTATAATTAATTTTATAAAATACCCTACAATTAATTATAATTGTTAGTTATACCACGCTAAAGCCATATCCCAAACAGATGTAAAATTTTTTGCTAACGACAAAATTGCTAAATTTAATAACACGTTTTACCTCATTGAAAACTTTAAAAGAGAAATTTAAATTAGTTTTGCCCACATTAATTTTGAACCAAACTGTTTTGTAAATCTCCTTAATAAAAAATTTACAAGTTGTATAAAATTATCCGTTGTTACATTTAAGACCATAGTAACCATAAACAATGTTGCCTACACCAACGTAAAAGAAAAAATTCTTAATTATGTAAAACACAATAAATTCACAAACTACTTAGTTAGTGAATATCAAGTTACTAATAATACTGAACTTCAATTAGAAAATACAAATATATTATCAAAAATTGTTATAAAATTAGAAAGAAATCATTCGAAAATAACCTTTTTATTATTTATACTAAGTTTTATTTGTATTATGGTAAAGCTTCTTAAACGCTGCCCTTTAATAACTTTAAATCCCCTCAAAATATTGAAATTGAATCACTGAAAGTAATCAAAAGTACCATAACACTCACACTGCAGAAACAGAGCTTGACATATTAAACCAATTAAACGCCAAGCCCTTTCAGACTTATTAGACCCGTTTCAATCACTACGTCCACTTAACGTGCAGCTGCGGCTCTGCTAACATAAATATCCAGATTCCCGGCTCTAACATAAACATAACAGCGCAACCACTTAACATAAAGATCCATATTCTCATGCGCAATTCATAACTTAAACCAAAGACCCAGTCTTTAGAGCGCAATTGCATAACGTAAACATGACTCCAAGCGTCTAGCTTACGCAAGCACCCCCGCGAGCTTTTAAACTTTAAGGAAAGAAGCTTTAGCATAAACACAGCTGATTCGCAGCATAAGATCACCGCGAGCTTTTGAGCTATAAGAGAATAAGCTTTATCATAACCATAGCTGACTTGCAGCATAAGTTCACAATTGTACTTTAGTTCTAATCTTGGATTCAAATAAATCGGAATCCTTCAGCCTCCCACTTAAAAAATATTTTTTTCCAATTAGTAGCCACTAATTGGTTAATTAGCTTAGCTCCAGCTGCGCAAGCTCAAATCAACAGCAATAGTCGTAAATGGTTATACATAATTCGCATCCATTAGTTTCTTGCATCTACAGCCGTGAGGTCGAGAAGCTAAAGATAGAAATGGGTTTCGGTATCTGATTAAGTTCCAGAGTCACTGTAGACTGTAGACTGCAACTAAAGTCATACGCAGAGCATTACACAAGATGTGCTTGCTACCCAAAAGCCATTGCTTACCAAAAGGGGAGAATGATTAGTTAAGTAACTAACGCAGAAAACGGCAATCACTCTGCCGACGGCTGCTGCCTAGCCCTTACCTTCTGCATTGACGTTTGATGATCACAATGGATCATTGTGGAACAATGGAAAAACTACAAAATTCCAATTGTGATTAAATGGAAGATTTCGGTTTCGATTTTTTTTTTTTTCATTATATTCTTGCAGAGATTATTAAAATTTTGTCTCGAAATGTGTAACGCATAGAAGGAGACCTCATAAGGTTTATATATTCTTCAGTATCAAAAGCCGAGCTGTTTCAAATTATCGTTATGAAATTTTGCAGAAGTCCCTCATTCTGTTATCATATAGCTGCCTTAGCAACGATCGGTCAATAATTAAGTTGTTGTATAGACAATATTTGCTCCGTACAAATAGTTGCCACGAGCGATCGGTCAAAAAATAATTTTTGTACGAAAAACTTTTTTCTTTTCAAGATATCTTGACCAAACATGCTTTTTATAAGTTTCACTGTGTTGCCTACATTTATGCAAAATCTTGTTTATATTGGATCACTATATCATATAGCTGCCATAGGAACGATCGGTCGAAAATGAGGTTCTTCTACAAAAAACTATTTGTTTTTCAAGATAGCTCTTTTATTCCGTTTGATTTTAAGAACAAGTTGGTTTATGACGATATTTTACTAGTTTGTGTGTTTTCCATGTTTTGTTGTATACCAAGTACGGGTTATTATACCCTAGTATAACCCGACCTCATAAAGAATATATATTCTACTATGCGTCATACATTTCGAAAATGAATTAATTATAATTTCCTCTGCAGGGGTATAAAATCATCGTTTTAAGGTTAATAATATTAATGTTTCTTTTATTATTCACAAACATGCCATCCCAAAATATATTATTTAAATTAATTTTTTGACAATCATAAAACTAAATCCTTTTTTATTTTCAATATTTTTTACAGACCAGATTACATTGAAAACGAACCAATTGAATGATCTTACAGAGAAGTTATATGAAAAACGACGGAAAGTACATAAGTTTAAAAAACAACTAGAAGCGCTACACTCCGAAAAAATTACATTGCAGCGAAGCTTAGAAAATACTACACAGGAGCGTGATAATTTTCGTATACTTCAAGCTGTATGTGGTATTATTGACATATTGTTGTGATATATAAGTTAAACCATAAATTTTTTTAATATAGGAATCTGGTCATCAAACTCAACAGCTAACGACTGAGATTAGTGCAAACGAAGTAAAGATAAATTCATTGAATTTAAAAATTGAGCATCTTAATAACAACATTAAAGAGTTGCAATCTGAGTTGAAGAACAAACAAAACTTGGTTGCTAGCTTGCGGAAAGATTTGAGAGAAATAAAGGAGAAAAATGAAATGTTGGCAAAAGCTATCTCAAATGATGAGTTCCGTTTTATGAAAATGGGTCATGAGCTAGAGGAAATGCGGAAAGAAAGAAATTTAGTTGGACTTCAAATGGTTCGCCGTAACGACGAAATTGTTGTTATCAAAGAAAAATTGCAGATTGCACAAAATGCTCTTGATAATGGCACCACGCAATACAATCAACGGGTTGAGGACATAAGGCTCTTAAAAAAAGAAATTTCAAATCTTTATACAGAACGTGAATGCCTCAAACATGCTATTAAAAGTACGGCTGACATGAGGAAAGAAATAGTGCGTTTACAGAGAGCTCTAAATCAGGAACGTATTCGAATAAGGGCTCTCACAGAAGATGCAAAAACACCAACTGGAGTACATCGTTGGCGCATTTTAAAAGGGGAGGATCCCAAAAAGTTTGAGTTGCTAGAAAAACTACAGGTCCTGCAAAAGTAAGTAATATTTTTAAATGTACAAAAGAATTATTGAAATTGAAACCTTTGCTCTCCAACTACTCTCCCGACTAATTCGTTATATATACTTACCCTGCACCCATTGAAATGGGAAAAAAGGTTCACAAAAAGAATTTTTTATTGCCTAATGATTCTCTTAAGTATTTAAGAATTGAAATATTTCGTTAAAAATAAACAATTTTATTCGTTCTTTACCTACCATATATATTTTTTGTCGTTTTACAACAGGTGTAAGACTTGTAATATAATATATACTGAACTAAAACCAGGTTACAGAAAAATCGCGGATATTCATAATTTTCAGTATACTATAATATTATTTTCTACTTTCTGTAGAGTGCTCTTGCTATAAGATATAGCGCAATATAAATTAATTTTTATACATGAATTTATGCAAGACACGCAAAGTCGTGTGCAGCTAATTCCATACGCCCTCACCTACATTTGCACATAACCAAAATGCCAAAATGCTGTGCAACAACACTGCCGTAAGAGTTAGGTTTTTTCTTGAAGGTGAACAGATAAAGTTAAAGCACAGAGATCACCTTTTTACTGGCAGCCTAAAAAAGTAGTACGCGAAAAGATAAGAATTAAAGAAAGTTTAAGCTGAGCGCTAGGGCTCCAAGCAGTGCGGCACGGCATGATTATTCATTATTATTAAATCATTATTTGGATTTTTTTTATTATACCGTTGCGGAAGATATTATATTTTGTTTCCAAATGTATAGGGAATAGAAGGATACATCTCCGACCCCATAACTTATATATATTCTCGATCAGTATCAACAGCCTATTTGATCTAGCCATGTCCGACAGTCCGTCTGTCTGTTTCTATGCGAATTAGTCTCTCAATTTTCAAGTTAACGTCATGAGACTTTCCAAAAGTCTTTCTGTTGCATGCAGTACATAAGTCGGAACTAACTGGATCGGACCAGTATATCATATAGCTGCCAGAGGAACGATCGGTCGAGCTCTAGGCTCTTCTTTAGAAACGTACTGTTTTTCAAGATACCTTGGCCAAACTCGGCATTTATAAGTTTCACTATGTTCCCTACATTTACGCAAAATCTTATTTACGTCGTACCAATATATCATATAGCTGCCATAGGAACGAACGGTCGAAAGTTAAGTTATTGAATAGAACACTTTTTTTTCAAGATATCTTAAGCAAACACGACATTTATAAGTTTCTTTATATTCTTTACATTTATGCAAATTCTTTTTTACTTCGGATCACTATATCATATAGCGGCCAGAGGAACGATCGGTGATAATTAGGTTCTTGTATGAAAAACTTTGTTTTTCATGATATCTTAACCAAACTCGGCATTAACTATTGCTGTTAGTTTCTTCTGTTGCTTCTTAGATACGTGCAAAGCAATATGAGCATTATGAATAGGTTGGATCTGCAAGGGTATTAAATCTTTGGCGTGCCGAAGTAGCCCTTCTTTCTCGTTCCTGTTAATTTTGATTAATATAGATCTGGTTTCTTTTTAGTAATAGTTAGGGTTACACCTGAATCTAATAAAATTTTCTTTTCTAAGAACCCTTTCTTCTGTTTCTTATTCCTGTAGCTGATTTTTGTGTTTATTAATCTTTTGAATTATTTGTTTCTATTTTTGTGTGTTATGCTATTTGATTTGTGGGTATTGCTCTTTTCGGAATTCATTTAATATTCTTAGATAGTCGTGTTCGTTGTCAAGTTCTGTTTGTGCTAAATACACGTGTTCGTGTGGTGAAGTGTTCGTACGGGGTTTGTTGGATGGCTGAATGGAAACACATCGTCATGATCTATTTTTTTTAGTTTTTTTCTTATCTATGATAATTCTGCAAATTTCTGTTAAGGTTGGGTGCAGCCTTTATACGGTAGAGTTACTGGTAGATTGTTGGAATGAGGTTATATGATTTCATATTGCTTGCGAGAATCTTTATGAAATTACAAGAGTATATCGTTCCTTGAGGTGGTATTCCAAATAATTGTCTGAAATTTTATATTTCTTTCAGAAAGCTTTTACTATCTCTTAGGGGGTTTGTGAGTTTTGTTGTATAAGGTCGAAAAATTTATTAGGTGTTTCAGTCTTTTGCAATATTATTTTGGATGGGTGTCTTTATTTTTTTTTTTTTAATCTTAAATGAATTTTCTAAAATCTCATAAAACTGTTTGTCCTGACTGACTGACTAACTGACTGAATGACTGACTAATTGGTGGTCAACGTACTGCCCTTACTGTAAGAGCTAGGAAGCTGAAATTTTCACTGTAGTTTCCTTATGCGATGAAGGTGCACGTTATGATGGGGGTTCGGGAAATTCCAGCCGCAAGTGTGGAAAAATCGCGTAAAATGTTTGTATGAAACCTTTTTGTTTACCATTCGATCACTCTTTTCCTCATTGGTGGAAATGGGGGAAAAATTTGGTGGGTGCGGTTTCGCGCTCAAATTTATTTCAATGGGTCTATATAAAAAATCATTTAAGACGTGTTTCACTTTTTTCGCAGAATTAAAGCATCCTCGGCAAAAAGGGCGGTTCTACAAGCTTTTTGGTGCAGCTTTAAGATTATATTATATTATATTTTCAGAGCTCTAAATAAGAACTTAAAAATTACGTGTTTCAGCGGTTTGGAAAATTCCACCCACAAGAGTGGGTAATTAGCAAAAAACGTTTGATTGCAACTTTTTGTTTACCTTCTGAGCGGCCTCAAACTTATTTTCAAACAAATTTGTTCAAATGCTTTTGAGGGAATCTATCTTTTTGGAAAATCCATCCATCCTTGGTTAATTTCGCGTTCAAATTCATTTCCAAAGGTCTGAAAAATCATTTGGATGTGTTTCACATTTTTTGCCGAATCTAAACATTTTCGGTAGAAATGCGATTCAAAGATTTGTTGGACGAAGTTTTAAGTTTTGTTCCTATTTGCTTCAGACTTATTTTCCAAGCTCTACATAAAAACGTTATGAATAAGTGTTTCATCGATTTGACAAATTCCACCCGCAACAGTGAAAAATGGGCGGATGGCATTTGGTGGGTGGCGTTTTTCCCCCAAAATCTTTTTCACGGATCTACATAAAAAATCATTTAAAAGCCTTTCTCCATTGGTGTTCCATCGGTTAAAGGTAACATGTCGAGTTGCTTTTATTAACCTGACGCCGCAAAGTTTTCCTTTCAAAAGTCAAAAAACACTACCTCGAAATAGGGGCTTCATTTAATGGACTCTTCGCGGGATTTGGCTAAAAATGTATTAGAAATGTGGTCAGTGGACAGAGTCTAGTGTCGGGATTTCTAGTTCAACTAGCTGAATAAGTTCAGTAACTATTATTATCTTTTATTTATTCCAGCTTCAATGTTATATGAATAAAAAATAAAAATAATATAATATGATATAATAAAATAATATAAAAATCTTTCTTATTAAGCATTAAGGTGCTTAATAAACTTTCGATATATATATTAAATAAGGAACTTCATTGTTGAACCCCTAATAAATAGGTACACATTAAATTATTTCGGAGATATCACATATTGTAATCTAAAAATGTGAAATAATCAACCTTTTGTGGCAGCGTCTATCTGTTATCGCCTGTCCAGCAGTTGAAAAGATAAGCTCACAAGGCACAGAAGTAGCAACAATGCACAGCCGCTTCAAAACAAAGCTGTTTAAGCGAGGATACACCATCTTGCCCCTGTTCCATTACACCAAAGGATCTTACTCTCTGTCTAAGTATTTCTCATTAAAATACTTATCGTTTTCGCGATCCGATGCGACATTTTTGTTCGTCGATTTCACTACCAAAAGAAATTCCACATCGTAATCGTCCAATATACTGCCTATTGTATTTGATTCCAATAAGTTGTTTAAAATTAATACTCCTTCTGCACTGAAACCATTTATTGTCTTACTTGCTCTAGGGCAATCGTAAAATATTCATATTTTTTAAATCCTAGATGCTTAAAACGAAGGTCGAGGAATGTGCTTTTTAGCATTTTGTTTCATATTATTGAAGCGAGACTTTATTTCCTCGCGCAAAATGTTTAAAACAGCTTCCACGGCCGCAGAAGTTGCAACTGTTTTTTGCCAAAAATTGCAATATCATTTTCGAAAATATTGTGACCTAAAATAAATATAAATATTGTAATTAAACCATTACCATCATCATACACAATTTTATATTCGTTTTATACCTTTGACAACGTTATATTTCTTACGGCAGATATTTCTGTGGAGACCTAATAAAATGGCTTCAAAACGGTAAGCAATTTCTCGATAACGATCCATTCATCTTGCAGTAAAATAAAGTCTGGTCGAGTTCTAGGCGAGTTCTAGGCTAACAGCTAAGGCATATTTAAGATCTTGAAGCCTGCTTAGTATATCGTACTTCGAATTCCAGCGTGTTTGAACGTCCATTTTTACCTTCAGCTTCGGCAACTGCTCTTGAGTTTCTTGAAGTTTTTTTAATCCACCAGCACTTTGATGGAAATATTCCACAATGCCTTGGATCTTATTTTAATGGCATACATTTTTTATTACCCTTTTTGCACTACCAAATTCAAGGTGTGTACAAAGCAAGTTATTAAACGCCATTGCCCTTCCCTTACCGCACCAACTATATTGGGACTATTATCTGTCACAATTTCAATAACTTTATTGTCAATGTCGCATTTGCTAATCGTTTTTTGTAAAAACATGCGGAGATTATGATTTGTATGCCATTCTCCATTTTCTTGACAACCGAGTAAGGCCGATTTTATATTTGATTCGTCTGGATCAATATAGTGATCTGTTACTGCTATATAGCTTTGATTGCACCTTGAAGTCCAAGAATCTGTTGTCAAACAGAGTAAGTGTGCCTTGCATAAGTTTTCAAGGTAAATGTTCGGCAGCAAGACATTTGAAATGGTTTTTCGGGCACTTTTTATCCTGGACACTGGCCTGCCATTTCAATTAATTCTTTGAAGTCTGGCTCCTCCACTATTCGCAGGGAGTGATTG